AATACTTATTCTAAAGTATTTAATGTATTTTCTTCTTTCAATTCTAAACTAGCAAGTTTTTATACGTATGGTTTATTCGGTTATTCAATCCCTGAATTGTTTTCATTTGTTCTATCTTTTAAAGGAGTATGAATGACTTTCTGATGTATTTCTTTTGAATGTCAACTATCAGTTAGTGAAATGTCGTTACCAATTTTGTCAATGTATATACTACCGACATATACATTTCATAACCGACATAATTCTCGTTATTATGTAAGTTAAATATATCAAATCGAAATTCTTGAAAAGTTGTCTATTAGTTGGTACATAACGGGAACAGATAGTGGGAATAAGATACTCTAATATTTATAAATTATGTACTGTTGAATATGTGACTTATTTCCATGGAGAAATAATGATATCTAGTAAACTATATTACTGTCAACATAAAGATAATATTAATTTCTATAATAAAATTGGAAGTTGCAAAACTAAATAGTTTCTAGAATGACTATTAAGTATGTACTGTGTTATAAACTTGATGCTTATTAATTTTGAAACCAACATATTATGATAACAAATAATGAATAATGAATAATTAGAAAGAGTAATATAATAGAAATTATCATCATTTCGAATATATTCAAGTTCATTTAAATTCTATTTGTGATTTGCTTTACTACTTTTAATTTCTTTTTTTTCTAGGAATTATTTCGTTCAAATTCTGGTGGAGTTTTGTTCTCTGAGCTGGACCAAACCATCCAGCTCAGAGAACAAAACTCCACCAAAATCATCCACCTGAGATACAAATTCGTTCAAATTCACTTGGTTCTGTTTTACTTATATCTTCCCATTGTTATTTAGGTCTACAATTGATCAGTTTATTGTTAACATATGTGTATCCTGTGCGGATTGCTTCAATATAGCTTTAAGTCACAAGCTTTTTTAGGCAAACATAGATAATGGATAGTAGTGGAATAGTAACTATGTTAACAAATAGATAATTGATATTGTGAATAAGATACATCTTATATTTATTCATGTTTTATATTTGTTGTCTACCATTTATTATGATAAGTTAAATATGTTAAAGTTACTATAGAATATTTTATATGAACATTTGTTGAATTTATGAAATTAAATATTCATACATTTGTTCCCTGTATATATCATAAAGTACATATTATATACTGTTATACTGTTATCAAAGATCTATCATTAACATTTGTACAATCTAAATACTTGTTATGAAATGTCATTTCAAAATTTTCATAATCCGCTAATATTAGGATAAGATTTAAACATGTGATCATGGATTCAAGGTTGTCTGATTGAAACATTTTGATCTTACACGTGTAAATAAATTAGTTTCAAATATTGATACAGTGAATCAGTCACTGATTCACTTTAGAAAAAATAAAAAAAAAAGTGAAATCAAAATCTGATCAGGGGATTCGCAATAATATCGTATTATTTTCATGTTAGTCAGACCATTCTACGATTGATAAATTCATAAATATCAAAAGGGTTTCTATTGATATTATAGTAAGTTAAACGGTTGAGATCATGAGTTAATTGAAGCTAGACCACTATGGAAAACCTTGGAGCACTGGACGGCCTTTTCGTCACAGTATGGGACTCCTCAGCAGTTTCACTTGACTCATGATCTTAACCATTGAAATTACTATAATATCCACAAAATCCCTTCTGATCTGAAACAAAATATGCTCGCTAGTGACTGACTTCAAGAAGTATTTCCCGGAGTTCTAGTGAAAAGCAGTGACCAGTGGAGTTCAATCAAGCCTGTTGTGAGATAGTAACTCACTGAAGACAATGGGTCTGATATATCCTGGGTTGGAATCTTGAGAGGCGCGATCGAGGATGCACACTACTGAGGAATCCCACAATAAGATGAAACGGCCGTCCAGTGTTTCCAGGTTTCCCATGGTGGTCTAGCTTTAATTGACTCATGATCTCAACTACTAAGATTTACAAATGTTTTATATACTAACGTCTATTTTAAGATTCCTGTCATTTGACCTGATTGATAAAGATACATATGTTAATAGGCAGAATCAGAAATATTTGATTAATATAGAAATTATGTGAAATTGAAATTCTGGTCAGCGTGTACAAATACAAATATCCATGAAAGACTAACTGTTTGAAAATGATATAACTTAGTATGACCGATAAGCTTATTTATGTTCTGATATACAAAAGAATATTGCGTAATTTACGAATAGATTTCATAAATGAGATATTTATAACTTTGTGAGGAAAAAATTCTTTAGATCGTTTTTATTCATATATCAGCTAGAGACCTGAAGAGAAATAAAGTTGTGATTAGTAGACAAGTGTTGTAGTCATTCGTTAGAGTGTCGAGATATAAACTGAAAGGTTTGCTATACAAATATATCTACACTTTAGATTTCGGCTTAAATTAACCTGTCATCCTTATAATTCCTAAAATCTTAATAATTACATGTTATGTTTAATATGATGTTGCTTATTTAACTCACTAAAATTAGTTAGTGGTATATTATTCATGAGAAGTTGAATGAAAATCATTTTATTCAAGTTCATTCATTGTCTTAATCAATTTATTTGATTCATTAAAATAATAAATACATTTTGTGATATCTGATGTTTCGTGACATAATTTAAGTGATTGCTTCAGAGCATATAGATAAATGATCAAAATAAAATTAACTCAAGTATATATTCTGAAGAAGTTACTCATACAACATCACGAAACATCAGAAGTATAAAGTTCCGCTCATTATGGTATTATGAAAATAGTAAATTATTATTTATAGCCTCATAAATTAAAGTTAATTAATATATTTCTATATCACATATTCAAATTTTTAAATGATGAACTTTGATTATTAATGCAAAATTCGGCATAATTCCCAAATGAATTTAAATTATTAAATAATCTAATGATTAGTTAGAATAAAAATGAAAGTAATTTACATTTTAAGGTTCACTTATAATGAAGTATTGGATAATCTAAAAGAAAATTAACATAACATATAATCAGTTTTTTTTAATCATGATAATATGGTTAGAAAATCTTACTACTGATTAAATCAAATAATTATTTCAGTAGTATATTCTGTCCGAATAATTTTAATGTTAATATATCAACGTTTGGTTATTATAATAATGATGATTTATTCTGAAAATAATAATTACAGAATTCACTCCAGTTTACAGGCATGATCAATTTGATATAAATGGTAACATTGGATGTACAGAACAAACATGTGATAGAAGAAAGTCTTAAATATACTAGTTCAGTAGTTGTTTAAGTAGTACATGTATTACAAAGATCCAATGTATCAGCCGGGAGTTTTTAATGTTTCTTAAATGGACAGCCTTACTGATTATCATTTTAGAACTTCATTGATATAGAAGTTAGTTTATATGTATTAAGTAGTTGTCTTTGAGAAATGTCTTAATGAAATGTACAATGAATAAATAAGTAATTAAATTATCAGCTAATATTTTAAAGGCGGTTATTTTGCAATGAAAAAGTATCAATTTATCAACAGCCAATAGATATAAACTATCATATTAATTCTATTATAAATTTTCTATAGGAATTTCGTTCAAAATATACTAACTACAATTATAAATCCAGATTAATAATCCATAAAATTGGTCAGATTTAAGGCAAAGTAGATCATTTGGAAATTGTAATATGTGAATTAAGAATTGTTGTATCAAATCAAATCGTTAATGTTGGGGCTGTTTAATATGAAGTGTTAACTTGAATCAGTTTATAAGTGAAATGAAATTGTGCGATAAATGATCAGAATAAATATGGTCAACATGGAGTAATCTGATTAATGTTCATTTTATGTCCCAAACTTATTATTATTACTGTTATTATTATTATTGTCTTTACACTTGATATCCCCTTTTTGAGGAATTTATTCAATATCCACCCCTGAATCTACTATATTTGACCTAATTCATATTATTTTACATATTACGTAATTTCCGATTTGTAATCACAATATTCTCTCTCTTACGCCATGTTAACCATATTTATTCTCACAATTTTACTTCGTTTATAAACTGATTCAAGTTAACACTTCACATTAGTCAGCCCCAACATTAACGATTTTATTTTATATAACAATTCCTGATTCACATATTACAATTTGTAAATGATCTACTTTGCCTTAAATTTGGCCAATTTTATGGATTATTAATCTGGATTTATAATTGTAGAACCTGATGAGAAATTCATTGAATAGAATATTCTTCGTTCATACAATTGTGTTTTAATATAATGGGAATTTTTCAGCGATATACTAACTACACAGAAACGATCTACATTATATCTGGATATGATGATCAGTTGAATAAATATTTTGTAACAAAGAAAATAATCAATCAATATGGCGTATACAACTTATATTTCCTTATTTTCTATTAATTTACTTAAAACACCCCACTTTTCTAACTATTATTATTATTATTGTTATTTTTTAAAGAACTTTTGTCCACCCACTGTCAACAGGGCAGTCTACTTTTCTACTGAAATAAAAATGTCAATAATATAAAGTTTTCATATGACATCGAATACTATTGTAAATTTCTTTTACCGTGGGAACATATTTTATTATTATTATTAATAATAAAATTTCTTTTTGTTATTGAGATATAATCATTAAAAACACTAGTTATAGACTATTATTTTGATCGGATGAAGGTCTGTCCCCAATGATTGTAAACTAGTCGAATCAAACCATCAAGGTTAAATCACACATGACCTTGATATTAACCAATCAGAGTACGGAGCCCAATTTTTCTCACCCTTTTACTATAATATTTGCCTATCAGGTCAAATAGAGAACGTGACAAAATCTCTTTCCGAGAGTGGAGGGAAATAGATTTTTTTTTAAAAATACTATCGGTGTAAATATCTAAAACGTGTTTTTTATGATCGAACGATCTACGATTTTATACAAATTTCAAATATTGGGGATTAAATAAAAATTATGAAAACAATGGGTAAGTCACATTTTGTAAATATTGAGTTTTTATTAAAAACTTAATTGAAATAGTATTCTCAGAATTTAGGAGTTATTTCTGATAGTGAATGCTAAATTACTACTGAGAATGAGATCATTTATGAATTTTTTTTAATATTCGGAGAACGTCAACACATGGATGTCTGGATAATAACTGTTGTTAGTTAGGTGTACGTGTACAGTGGTTAGATATATTGTCTTCTATGAGCTTTATGAGTTATTGATAATACTGTATTGTCTCATGTTTGATAGTAATAATACTAATCAATAAAATTAACTACATCACGGTATTAGGTTCTGTTAAGCTGTATTCGCTATTTTAAGTACGATTTCACTTCCAATTTGGATTAAATACAGATGAACTCATAAGTACTATTTGGTGGTATTAGATTTCGTATAGGATTTCTTTTTTGTAATGAACGTGACAGTTAAGTTAGACTCATAATAAACAATAATGAAAATATTTTTCTGACCGATATTGTGATACGTTTCTGTATGTAAATAAGTATGGAAAAAAGTTTTCTTTTACTTTGTTGAATGCTAGAATAAAATAATCAAATATCTTATGAATAATTATGTAATGATTACTAGAAATTTATTTATATTGAAGAAATGAGTTACATTAAATTGCGGAACGCCGGAAATACGGTGAGTTATTGCAAGGATATATTGATGAATAAAACTAATGATAAATAGACGTTAGACCAGAAATTAATCAAACGATTATGCCTGAATATTCTTCCCGTCTTTTATATGAATAAAACAAATTAGTTATTTGATGATATATAAATATCTGGTCAATTCATTTACGGTCACAATCAGTTGTGGTTCGAATAACACAGTATAAACATTACATATTTTATTAAGTTTCATTCAGTCTAAATGTGTTTAGTGTCGAATTCTAATTTATAAAGGATATATATTTATACTTAATTAAAACCGTATTGAATACATGGGGTTTAGATCAAACATACTTTTACCTTGTTAATAAGCAACTTATTTGTACTTTTTTTTACCATTCATAGTTTTTAGTTTGTGAATGAAATATTTGTAACTTGTATAACATGCGACAATTATTAGGTCCCATGCACTTTTTAAAGATAAATGAAAATATTGTCAGTTTTGTGGTTATTTTGTTCACTCAATTAAGTGTGATGTGTACAGGAAGCTGATAAATGATTTGTATCAATTAAACTATGTGTAATTTGAATGTAATTGTTTGTTTTCTATTAGATCTGATGATGACAACAGTATTACATGTTATACATGTTTTTATTACACTCTCGTGTTAAGAATGGTTTTATAATTTACGCAATTAACAAGTCTTCATTAGGTTTAAATAATTTGTAACAGTGTTTACATTATTAGATGAATTGTTAATTATTTTCGGTGGGTGATCAGATATATTTAACATATGTACTACAGTTTGTTTGAAAACTCATCAATTTCTTAAATAACAACAATCATTTCAATGATTCGAATCTCACGATGAGTCCCACAGTAGGACGAAACGGCCGTCTAATGCTTCCAGATTTTCAATGGTGGCCTGACATCAATCGGTTCATGACCTCAATCAAAATGATTGAATTCATTTTTTTCTTTGAAACTTATACTAAGATCTTTATGGTATTTATTTAACTAATATGTACTTGAATAAACAAATGACATTTATTTATTGAATTTTGACAAGTTTTCATTATTGATGAAACTATAACGCGTACCGATTTAAATGATGTTCCTACATTTGTATTAAAAAAATACTTGAACTAACCACGGATAAATTTCATATTTCATGATTATCTTGGTAACCATGAAAATGAAATAAAATATATCGAAAGTTTCCAAATAAATAAACTACATGAGATTTATAATGCTTTTTGTAATAGTACTACTTTATGATAAACATGTAGCTGATTTGTCAAGTACAAGTTTATGTACAAGGTGTTAACCTACACTGTTTGTATAAACACTAGTGATACGAATCAACATAAAATTTCAAGAATAAGCTCATCTATCACGCTCTTACATTTAAACTATGAATCTGCTCTCATATTAAATAAATTAGCTTATTTTGATTAGCTAAATGATTGTACTTACATAAATGTATGATTTGAGGTCTTTTGGGTATTTAAACGTTGAACTTAACCGAACATCATGATGTCACCAGTTTTGTATGAAAGTTACTTGAAAAAGGAAAGCAAACATTTATTGTCATATGTCAAGAGTGGATCAAATGCCGGTGGATAATTTCTCAGTAATATCGAGTAATTTTATATCAGAGTCCACTTCTTCTGCCGAATTTATTACAAATATTATAGAGTGTAAAATTTTTTATATAACTAAATTCAATTCATTTCATTTTTATTAAATAGAAATAATACGAAAGCTCTTTGGCTAATAAAAAAAATTAAAAAAAGAATGGTATACTTATACAAACAAAAATGAAAGGGGGTAGCAGTTGAATCCAGGACATGCGTTTCGTTCCACTTGGAACTCGTCATTTGGATGTATGTACATCCTAGAGTTGATGTTCACTCTGAGACTCAAGCCCATTACGAGTCCAAATAGGAAAAAAACGCGCGCCCTGGATTTCATTACTAGCCATCATCAATCTTTGCTTATGATGCTTGTGAGTTAAGTCAATACCGAGATAATCCGTACAGGATACACATATGCCAATAAGAGACTGATCAATCGCAATCCAAAACATCAATGAGAAGATTCAAACGAACACCACAAAGTGATACACTTTACTTAATCATGCAGATTTATATCATATGAAATCAGTAAAGTTGGTTGTAACAGTAAATATGTTTATCCATGTTTAAGATCAGTGAATGGTTGATTATGCCTGCTAAGAGTTGAATATACAACTTTCAGTCACAGTAAAACTAAAGATCACAGGCATCTACATTCCAGATAAGATCTTACAAGCGATGGACTAGACTGTCTTATCATCTTGATTTAGGCTGTCACGGAAAAAGAACACGGTATTTTTGACTGTCCGGTTATCCATATTAATAAGTTGTAAAAAGGAGCTGATATAGTGCAATAATAGGTAACTTAGAATGAAATTAGAATATGATCATTGTACATGATATTGAACGATAGATTTGAAGAATTGTAATCATGCATTCAAAGTTGTTTACATTAAGTTCAAAGTAATTATTTTCCAATATCGTAGACTCATTATTGTTAGAGGTGAATGGTTTCTACGGATTAAAATCCTTAAATAAGAAAAGGCATTTGGTGGTCCATTTTTACCACTTGTATTATTCATCGATTTTTACAGTTACCTTTCTTAAAGCATTATCACCAAACTCACCAATCTGATAATATTTATAAATCTTTAGATGAATGTTTTATCGATAAAGTTCTTATTACAGAGAAGATATTCAGTTGTCCTTCTATCAGTAAATATAGTAGGCATTTATCTATTGATCATAACATAACAGAGATTGAAACTAATTTGTCATTTAATTTAGAAGGGATTTTCTTCTTTTACTGTCGTTGGTTAATTCGGTTTGAACAGATCTATCCATAATTCGTTAGTATCAAAGTCTACATATCTGTCTGTTCCTGAATGCATTTATTTAATTTATCAGAAGTTTTTAATTTCTATCATTTATTGTGGATATGCTTGGCATAAAATTTGTTGATTACAGATTTCAAGCAAATTTAATTGATCGGTAACTTCAAAGATACGATAAATTTTACTGACTAACTATTAGAATAACATAAGAAAGTAATTTGTTCAACTGAATTCTTATTTACAATGTTCGGGGATAAAACAAATATGCTTTACTACATAAAATTTCGCTTCATCTGTAAACACTGTTGTTTGCTCTGAAAGATGTGGTTCATAAGAACTTAGTAAATTGTTTACTGACAATTTTGATTGATGTTCAGTTAAACTGTTAGAATGTTTTGCTTAGTAACGTGATATTTTATGTATAATTTATGTATATGTAATGTGCATATACATTAAATTTGTTCATTGGGTTCCAGTACTTTACGGTTCTTTTGTTTAATATGAACAATTGGGTAGATTTATGATGGAGTTTTGTTCTCTGCGTTGGATGATTTGGTCGTGAAACTTTCATCGTTTTTCTGAACGTTATAATCAGCACAAACTTTAGGTAGATTTATTTCTACAACAAGCGTAAAGTAATATATTTTGTAAAGTGAATTAAAATGTAATCAGTTACCACAACTTTTGTTCGCAGTTACAAAGTTGTTGCTTGATTGCTTAAACTAAAGTAGACTGAATGTGCTTTAATAATTGAGTGAAACCGGATTGTTATTATTATTCTCACTATTATCATGTTGTAGCTGATTAATAAGTTAAACTTGATGCGGGTGAGTAAAATATTCAGTGAAGGTTTTCTTAAATAATGATCTGTTAATTATTTTAAAACTAGATTATCAATAAGCTGGTCTGAAGTTGACAACCTTCTTCCCAAAATACTATACAAAACAGTCGTTTATTTTTTAAGATCCACCGCATATCTAATAAACAATAATTGACATTTGAAACGATCACTACGATTTATGAAGTTTATTCTGACGCAAAATAAGATGTGATGGTGAGTATGATAATCCTTGAGATCCAGTCACTAATTTAGTACATAAACAATCAATTCATAAGTTAATTATTTATATGACAAAGTCTTTGAAATATTTTCCACTTAAGGTTAGCATTCATTATGGCTTGATATTAATGGAAGAATCGTTGAAAAAAAATCATCCCATCTGAAAATTGTACCTTTCACAGTTAAAGCTTTTCGTTTCCTATTTTGAATGATAATTGACATTATAATACAACATTTTCAACTATACAACTTCATTCATTCATGTAATTATTTCAAATAACTTCTATCCTTTGTGCTCAACAAAGCTTCTTCGTATTCTGTTTATAACCAACGAAGAATCTTTATAATCATAGCGTATAAGAGATAGAGTTGTTTGAATTATTGGTCG